TAAAGCGAATGTACGTAATTTTTTTTTTAACAAACATTAAAGTATTGGATTATATATTTTAGTTTGATTATTGTACATTATTTAATAACTAATAATTAAATTAGGATAATATGAAACATTATTTATAAAAAGAGAAATATTTATTTCATTTACATGAAACAGAGGACAATATGTACTCTCTTAAAGCTATTTATACACACAATTCTTACTTTCTAGACGTGGAATAAAAGTTAAATAGTATTATACAGTGATAACGTGAATTATTTATTGTAGCATCTAAAAGAATAATAGTTCAGCTATAATAATTTGATTACGTCACTTGTTCTTAAGATTTGTCAGATCAATAGAAAGAAAGTTGTAAATTGATACAAAATATGACTTATGTTTAATGTGAATACACAATGATAAGTGTATGTAGTATAGCATTTAGGATCTCATGTACCTGTAACAAAAAAATATTGTACAGATATTAGGTAGAGTTATAATAAAGTAACATAATTGATTATACTTACGTAGTCGAAATTTGAAGTTTATTTATTAGAAACGGAATTTTATTTATCGCCCTTCAACTGTAATAAAAATATAAATAGTTAATTTTCTTTAATATCTATGTGCTTAATTATGTTAAAGTAAACTTACTGTATGAAGCTAAATCTATTTCGTCTGGTAATTCTGTAATATTAACATCAAATCGCTCTTGAACATCATTCAATATCTTAGCGTCGCTTTCGTCACTGACTAACGTTATAGCCAGACCCTGTAAATATTAAACTAATATTAATACAAGTATTTGTCATTACATTGATTAATAAATATCGTGCAAATATTAACCTTAGTACCAAAACGACCGGCTCTGGCTACTCGATGTAGGTATGTGTCTGAATCTTCTGGCATATCGTAATTAAAAACTATGTTTACACGTTCAATATCCATACCACGTCCAAATAAATTTGTAGCTACAAGAATTCGCTAAAATCATAAGTATTTTTTTGTAATCATCTCGATACGAATAATACTGAAATTATATTAAATATTAGTGGACATCAAATGGAACTACATTTGCAATTTAATATTTACCTTTTGGAAGTCTTTAAATTGTTGATATCTTGATAACCGTTCTTCTTGAGTCATACCTCTGTGTATACCAATGGCAGGGAAGTTTTGTTCTGTTAGAAGTTGTGCCAAAGCCATACACCTTTGTACAGATTTTACAAAGATAACAACCTATAGAATAATTTAAGATAAAAACAAAAATTGAAGTAATTTAATTCATAATGGATATTTTAAACAAAGTAGTAGCGATATTATTTAATTTATCTCTGTGGGACAAACCTGGTTGAATTCAAGTACATCAAGTAATTCAAATAGTTTCTTGTTCTTTTCATTTTCTTTAAGTTTCACATAATGTTGTTGTAGACCATGCAATGTGAGCTTCGCTTCATCATCCACATAGACTTCCATGGGCTGCGCAAAGAATGTTTTTTACAAGATTATCTATTTTACCCTAACAATATTCATACCTTGATAATTTCTAGACTCAATGTAATGATTTTTAGATCTAACATATCAAAACGAAACTTCAATATCTATTGAAATTGAAGTGTGACGAAAATTTATGAATTAAATCGATTACTAGATGCAAAAAATTAGTAAAACAAAAGTTTTTTGGCATGAAATGAACAGTTACAAACACAAATTAAAAAATTGAAACAAATGATGTGAAGATGTAGAGTATTTTTTTTGGTAAATATCCCAATTTCTCCCGCTTCCTTGATAATGACAATTTTTATGTCAAGTGACTACAAATAAAATGTATTAGATGGTTTTGAGAACTTTCCGCTTGAGCTCTCATTTTTGCACTTATTTGTCGATCGGATTAGTCATACTGGTTACATACGGTCCGGCGACTTCCATCTCTGGGTAGTGCCAACAACGAAAACTCAGCAGTCACCCCAACAGAACTAAGAAGGCGCACCCATGAATGTTCTGTGTCACGCATCCGCTGGCCACTCGATGCTAAATCTCTTCTCCCAAATTCTGGTACATTCCGAATATATCCAGAATTGGCCTCGATTATTGTTGGTACATGCTCGTATATCACAAAATTTACGGCCTCTGGGATATTTTTTAACATCGCGACTTAATTAGCTCATGATTCATAATACACAAACTGATTTATGCTTTGATCTCAGGTAGAGATAGGCACTATGAAACTATGCATAACACTTCCTTTGCTGTCCAATTTCACTCGTATTAATCGATTACTGACCAACACCACTAGCCTTTTCGCAAAATATTAAAATATGTTGTTTTGATTACAGACAAGACGAACGCAAATAAATTCTAGATATACACCACGTAATTGTAGCGATATGTCATCCTAGCTAACCCCAGTTTCCCACATATCCTCTTGCATCTTCTTTCTTGCGCTCTTCTGTCTTCAGGTTGTCTTGAAGTCTTCTTAGCCCCCCACCCAACCGAAAATTGCTTTTAATGCTGCTGTAACTCATTTAAAAATCTACCCTTCCCTTGCATTTGACTCGATCATTTCCCCATACAAACGTAGAAATTCTTTTTCTACCCAACCCATCCCAATAGACATGACGTTTCTCAACATTCGTATAACGTTATACCGAACAACATTTTAACAATTTCAATATGCAGCAGACAATTAGAGGATTTTAACATCGAAGATCAAAACTAAATAAAATTTTGTAAAGTATCGCCAACGTCATCTTGATTAATTCGAGAAACGACTTTAAATAGAGATTTCGTTCCTTTTATGAGCAGATATGGGCATCCAGTAAATGGAGAAAAACCTTGGAGCAGCAACTCGTTACGTTCAAGTTGTGGACTTGATTTTCAATCGAAATCCGAAGACATCGAGGGGCTTTTCATTATTGAATTCTGTGTCATTCCTTCAAAGTGTTGTCTAACTACCCTAACCCGCGGGTGCGCCGTCAACGATATTTATAGTATGGTCTGAGCTTTGTCCTGGGTATGAATACAGGGCCAACGAAGTAGGAGCAATCGAAGATCGAAGTGAAGAGGAAGATTTGTTAATTACATCTTGCATAAATTTTTTGCAGACAGGACGTATCTCCTTGGACAATGTAGCGCTGAACATCATGACTTGTTTGCCGTGTGGAGTGCTTCTAAATATTTCCTGTACGTCCCTACGCATGTCTAAAAATAAATTTCGAAATACCATTTACAATCTAGAAATTTACAGATACATACGTATATACACCCACACCCACACCCACAATATATAATATATACACAAATATATTTATAAATACCTAGTAGCTCGAGCATTTTATCACATTCATCGAGTATAAAGTGTTTTAAGTGCTTCAGGTTTAATTTTTTATTTCGTACAAGAGCAAGGATACGACCTGGTGTACCAACAACTATATGAGGACATGTGTTCTTCAAGACTTCTTCATCTTTTTGAATTGGTAAACCACCAAAAAATACTCCAAC